CATGCATATTCAAATCGGAAAAACTAACATCAACCAGTGCTATCGGATAGGACAAAAAAGTCAACGTAAACAACCAAGGCCGATTGTTGTTGAATTCACACAGTGTTGGATACGAGATCAGCTGTTTTATGCCAAAAGTAAATTGAAAGGCTCGCGCATTCTTATTACTGAGAAATTATCTCGGGATACTCTGGAGATATTCAAGAAAGTTAAGGCTGTTATGGGCAATACGGCGTGGACACAACGTGGAGTTGAAAATTGATGGGAATAAAATTCCTGTCCATACCGAGGAAGAATGGAAAGGAATACAAAAAAATATCGAAGATAAATGAATTGAACTTGTTTCATATAATATATTTCTTATTAACAAAGTTCATATTGATCCACTCTATTAATGATTTTGTTCTGCAAATTGATAAAGTGTTGTATATATTTCTCTACATTGCATTTGGTCTTTTATATTGATCTAGTTTTGTTAATAAATATAAATAATGGGTACAAATTCTTCTGTTAGGTATCGATGTGCTACTTTGTTTTTTGTTATGATAAATATAATTTTAATGCATTTCAATTCCACAAAGTATGTTAATTCACTTCTGAACTTGTTAATGGCAATCAGCTCTTCATGGTGGTTATTATTTCAGTGGTCAATAATTATTAAAAACAATATACTTGGAGGGTTGATATCACTTAGAAACCTATTTTATTTATTTTTTGTTCATACAATACATTTTCTCTCTATTAATACAAACATAAGTATACTATTTATTATGAAATATGAGTAACAATTTGAAAATTCGCCACATTAATGTAAGATCACTACTGGCACATTTCAATGATTTTTCTGAATATTTTTTGTCACAAGAATTCGATATAATTGGAGTTACAGAGACTTGGTTAACACCTATTATTTCAGAAGAAGATGTTTTAATGGATGGATACAGTTTCACACACAGAAGCAGAGGCGTCGGTTTGCGGGGGGGAGGAGTTGGATTCTATGTGAAAAATACTTTTGCATTCACCATACTGAATAATAATAGTGATATTGAAGATATTTGGTTGAGTCTGGAACTAAATTCTCTCAAGGTCTGTATTGGATGTATTTATAAACCACCAAAATTCAATTGCAGTGTTTTCAATGATATTTTCGAAAGTATTTTGCTCGATCTAACACCATCTTTTGATGAATTGATATGTGTGGGAGATTTCAATATGAATATGCTCGATTTTCATGATTCTACAATTTCTAGTTTCACCAGAATTTTAGAAAGTTTTGGATTGAATCAAATAATCAACAATCCAACAAGAATTGCTGGAAATAGTGCTAGCTTGATAGATTACATCATAATATCTGAGGAAAGAAAATTTTCAGACAGTGGTACGCTCTCTTTGATTAATATCAGTGATCATGAACTTGTTTTTGCTCATTTGATATTCGATATACCAACAGATGAAAATATATCAACTACCTATAGGAACATGAAAAACATTGATGTTGAACTACTTTATGATCACTTGAGGTCAATACCATGGAAGAATATATATGACATAGATTCCATAGACGATAAAGTAATTTTTTTCAATGAAAATATGCGAAATCTGTTAGATCTACATGCCCCAGAGAAAACATGTATTTTCAAAAAACCATATAAACCCTGGATCACTGATGATATAAAGGATATGATCAAAATTAAAAATAAAGCTCTACAAAAATATAAAAAAACAAAAAATCTACAGCATTTTCAGGAATATAGAGATATTAATAATCTTACAAACAGTTCTATCAGGCGGGAAAAAAAGTCTTATTTAACAAATTCAAATGATCCACAAAGTATTTGGAAGAACCTAAAAAAACTTAATATACACAATAAGAAAAAAAATTAGACAATTCCTTCAGATATAGCGGATGTCAATGCTATCAACTCACATTTTGTGAATTGTAAACCTCATAATAACTATAATGTTCTACCTAACTATTACGAAGGTGTCAAAGAAACTATATCTACCCCGCTCACATTTAAAAAAGTTACAGACGTTGAGATAGGTAAATCGCTATATAGTATTAAATCCCGCTCGGTGGGCTCAGATGGTATTCATATCAACTTCCTGATAATGTGTTGTCCATTTATTCTTGAGTACATTTCTCACTTAGTGAATTTCTGTCTAATAAATGCAGTGTTTCCCGATCATTGGAAAATAGCTAATATTATTCCACTTCCTAAAGTGACTTCTCCAAAAAATCTAAATGAACTCCGGCCTATAAGCATTCTACCGGTTATGTCAAAAGTTATTGAACGTGCTATGAAAGAACAAATACTGAATCACCTCAATTTAAATGATATCATACCTGAGGATCAATCTGGTTTTAGGGCTGGACATGGTTGTGTAACTTCTTTACTTAACTTAACTGACAATATCATAACTTCAATAGATGCAGGTCTATGTTCAATATTGGTGTTGTTAGACTATTCAAAGGCATTTGATACTATAACAGCATCATACTTTATTACAAATATTAAAATTTATTGGGTTCGATCACAAAGCGATAAAGTTGTTGGAAAATTACTTGAAGAACAGATGTCAAAGAGTGGTATACAATAATAAAATTTCTGAGTCACTATACAATACCAGTGGCATACCGCAGGGTTCGATATTAGGACCAATACTGTTCATCATATACACGTCTTCATTTCCATGTTACATTCAGAATTCCCATGTTCAGATGTATGCTGATGATACTCAATTAATGCTCACCTTTGATCCAAAAGATCTTCAGCAAAGTTGTAAACTCATTAATGATGACCTTGAGAATCTTTATAGCATATCACTAGAACACTCTCTACACTTGAATCCAACAAAATGTGCAGCAATGTTTTTCGGAAGACAAATTGATAGACTGAAACTATCTGATTTGGTTCATGTGGAGATCAACAATGTAAATATACCATTGGTGGAAGAGGCCAAAGTTTTAGGCTTAACAATTGATACTGATATGAGATACGAAAGCCATATATCTTCCTGTATAAAAAAAGCCATCATTAATTTGAAACTCTTGTATAATTCGAGACATATTCTCAATTTAGAAATTAAAATTATGCTTTGCGATTCATTGATATTATCAATTTTCAATTATTGTGATACTGTATACGGCCACTGCATTACAGCCTCTACAAGACAAAGAATCCAAAAAATTCAAAACTACTGTCTGAGATTTATATATGGCATCAGAAGAAGGCGCCCTATTACACATAAATTGAAACAAGCAAACTGGCTCAATATGATAAACAGGCGAACACTCCACTGTGGTATTCTATACCATAAATTGATAAACAGCTGTATGCCGAAATATCTGTATAAGAAAATTAGATTCCGTACCGATGTTCATAATTTGAATATAAGATCCAAAGGAAATCTCACACCTCCCTTCCACAAAACTGCTATTTTCACCAGATCCTTCTCATACAATATAGTGAAGTTATTTAATTCTATTCCTCTAACATTAAGAAGTCTCTCTAGCTCCAATTTCCGAAAGAATTACAAACATTTACTCCTCACACTCTAGCCAGAAATGTGAAAAGAGAGAACGTATTTTGTGGTATTAGATTTTTTTTTCCTCTTATGTACATAATATAATAGCGTATAATAGTGAATTTCGCGATCTGCCTTACTTGGGTTAAGTGGAAGAACAGCAATGCAACCTCTGTTTGCATTACTGAACTTCGCCCTTTCAGTTGTACACCTTTAATATGTAGCATTATTGTATATAATTTGTATTAGCAATTGAATAAAGTATATTATTATTATTATTATTATTATTATTATATCTTCGGAAGATATTCATTCCATGTTGAACATCACTATGCTGGAAATATTGATAGATCATATGGATAACTCCTCCTCCAGAAATAAGGGAGGTGGCAAACAATATAGAGTTGAATTTGTTGCCGGAGAAGTATCAGAAGAAATATGAAGGAAATTATAAACGATTTATGGATTAATAATTTTGCTGACACATATCAATCAGATAAGTAACCACTTTGCTGCCTAGGCAGCAAAGTACCCGCTAGGCAGGGAAGGTAATACTTTGCTGATTGATACGTGTCAGCAAAATTGATATTTGCTGCCAATCGGAGAAAAACCGTTTCGTCAACCTCAACCATAGCAAGAACGTTAATCTCAGTCTCCTCATTCACGATAAACCTCTGTTCTGCCTATCGATTTTCCTCTTGCCTAAAACGGTTCTCAACATACGGAAAATACTGATGAGATGGATGTTACCGATTGGTATATCTCTGAGCATACAACTCAGCATTATTTTGATGGATAATCAAACTAAAATTCAACGAAAGTCACGAAAATTTCTCCTTCTGCTCTTGAAGCTTATGTCACTGTCATAACCTCTAAGTGAGTGTTTTGTTCTCCCAAGAAGACTTGATCGAAATAACTGCAAAATATTATGCATCATGCCTATCCTCGGCACACTTGACAATTGTAAATAAATTATTATGAAGTATTTTCGTCAGTAATATTCAATTCATGTTCTTATTATTTGTAATGTGGTTTCTGAAGACAGAAGGTCAGAGAATTTTGCTCCTGGTTCTGACTGTGAATTAGGTGGTAAAAATTTGCAAAATAAAGTTGAAATTTATACCCAAGTGTGGAGATTAATCTTGTCAACAACCTGATGTGAAGTGAAATAAGATTCCGGACGATTTTGAGCTGCAATTCATAGGAATCATAATCACTGCAAGTGAAATCGCAAGGTTTTTGTGCCTAAAAACCAGTGCCAAATAAAAACTGAATCCGATGAGGATAATTCATCGTCTACCTAGAGTACGATTACCAGTGGCGTATCAATAAGCATTTCACATTTACAATGTCAGGAAAATGCTTTAAGTGTAATACTGACTGTGTTTTGAAAGATAATAAGAATGAACCATTTGGTTTCCCTTGTGATCAGTGTAAACGAATCATATGTAAAATTTGTGCTGGATTATCAGCTTCGGAGGTGAGAGCAGTAGTGATCCCTACCAGGGTAATGCCTTTTTATTCATCAGAGTTAACAGTATCACTACTCTAGCTCAAAAATTGAATAAACTCGAAGAGGAAATCCAAGGCTATTCGTCCAATTTTAATGGTAAATTCATCACGTTGGAACAAAGAATACTCAAAATGGAAGAGATTCTGGAGTCGAATAAACGTCTAGAACAAAGGATCCTAAAAATAGAGAAACTGATTGAAACAAACAAATCAGTAGAGAAAGAAGTTAATGAAATTGAGAAATATGTTGAGTCTAATCACCATGCACATTTTGATAGTGAAGCACTCTACATGGAGGTTCAAGATAGAGCGCACAGATCTAAAAACATAATTATATACGATGTGCAGGAATCCCAATCCGAAGAGTACTCTGTGAGAATTTCATTTGATAAACAACAGTGTCAAAAAGTATTAGATTCATTGAACGTACAGACTGAAGAATTCAAGGTTATTCGTCTAGGTCGCCCTAGCAATAAACCTCGTCCACTAAAAGTATTTTTCTTATATAACAATATTGCTCTTGCCTGCCTGAAAAATAAAAGGAAATTGTTGTCCCAACAATCTCCAATTCGTTTGAGCGCAGATCTGACTCCAGCTCAACGTGAATATGTTGAAAAATTGTATCAAGAACTTGAATAACGGAATAGAAATGGTGAGCAGGATATCTCGATTCGTTATCAATCTGGAGTTCCTCATATTGTTAAAAACAGAATGAATGATAGATCAAAAAACTAATGAAGGTGTATTGTCAAAATGTTGGAGGAATAAGATCTAAACTTCAAGAACTTATAAATGCAGTGCTGTGTTCTGAGTATGATATATTAATATTAGTTGAAAGCTGGCTGTCCGAAGATATCTCAGATTTGGAAATTAGAATACCTTCCTATAACATTTTTCGATGTGATAGAAATGGTGAAACAAGTGAAAAAACTAGAGGAGGGGGAATACTAATCATTGTTAAGGATTCAATTAAGGTATCTGTTATTATGCCTTTGTATAAAACCATCGAACAGCTGTATCTCATATATGCTCTGTTGGGAAAATGAAATTCATTGTGGGAGGAGTGTATATCCCACCACAGTCTACTGAAAAAGCTTACGAAGATCACTGTTTAACTATTGAAAACATTGCTCGCAGCTATCAGCAACATAATATGTATATTTTTGGAGACTTCAATGTACCTGAAGCAACATGGGACAACAACGAATTAGGTGTTATAGTTGACTGTCCAAATAGTTGTAAGGCTCTGTATCTGGCTGAATACTATGGTTATTTGAATTTCTGTCAGAAAATCAATATTCCAAATAACAGATCAATATATTTAGACTTGTGTTTAACAAATGTTTGCAATTTAGAAATATTTTCAGCTAATGATGCTATTTTTGAAAATAGTCACCATCATATTAGTTATAATTTCAATATCTCACTATGTGAATCTCATGAACCTCTAAAATACACTGATTATTACTATGATTTCAAAAATGCTGATTTTGCTGGGCTCAATAATTATTTTGCTCGTATAGACTGGAACAACTTTTTTAATTCAAATTTAAATGAGGCGGTGAAAATGTTTTATCATATTTTAAATATAGGAATCTCTCTGTTCGTTCCAGTAAAACGATTCAAAACTTCAAATTTTCCAAAATGGTTCAATGCTGATTTAAGATATCACATCAGACAAAAGGAAATTGCTCATAAACAATATATCACTACAAGGAACAATCAGGACTATAAAAAATTTTCTGACCTAAGATCACTTTGCAAAAACTTATCTAGGTTATGTTTTAATAATTATATGAGTCAGTTAGATCACACTTTATGCACTAATCCTAAACATTTTTGGAAATATATAAATAATAAGAGGGCTTCAAACGATCTACCCGATACTATGTTCTATGATGACATGGAGGGAAATAATAGTGAACAAATTGCAGAATGTTTCGCAAGTTAATTCTCAACTGTTTACTCACAAAGTGAATCTAACGTCAATCAGCATGTACCAAATAATGTTAATTTTGTTATATCGAATTTTTATATGTCTGTTGAGATCATTTTTGATAAAATACTCTCATTACCAGATAAGTTAGCAAGTGGCCCTGATGGCATTCCTGATTATTTTCTTAAGAATTGTGTATATTCATTAACATATCCAATCTTTCCCCTTTTTAAATGCTCCTTAGATACTGGTATTGTTCCCGACCAATGGAAACATAGTTATATTCTTCCAATCTTTGAATCCGGGAATAAACAGGATATAAAAAATTACCGAGGTGTATGTATTCAGGCCTCTCTACCAAAACTATTGGATAGTTTGATAAGTGATCAATTGAAATTCCATTGTAGAGAGAGATTAATAAGTAATCAACATGAATTTTCTCAGAATAAGTCTACAATCACAAATCTGTTGGTTTTTCAGCAGAGAATATTAAATGCCATGGAAAACAAGGGTCAGATGGATGCAATCTATACTGATTTCTCCAAGGCATTTGATCGTGTGGACCATAGAATTTTGTTAAATAAAATGGGTTCATTCGGTTTCTCTGATCAATCTTTATCCTGGTTCGAAAGTTTCTTAACTGGTCGTACTCAGCAAGTTAGAGTAGGAAAAGCAAAATCGAATATTATTTCTGTACCTTCAGGTGTACCTCAAGGATCTCATTGTGCTCCTCTCCTATTTAATATTTTTGTTAATGACATTGTACATTGTTTCGAAAATTCAGATTTTTTATTGTTTGCAGATGATTTGAAGCTTTTTAGACAAATAACTTCATTAGATGATGTTAATTTGATTCAGCATGATTTGGACAACTTGGCTAGGTGGTGCAATGAAAATAACTTGCATATGAATATCAATAAATGTTGCTCAATTAGCTTCTACAAATTGAATAAAAAATTTTGTACTTCTTACTCTATTGATGGAAACCAGTTAACATATGTTAAATCAGTTAAAGAACTGGGAGTCACTTTTGATGAACAATTACGATTTGTAGAGCATATAAACAATATTTCAGTGAATACATCAAAATTGTTGGGATTTATCTTGCGTAACTGCAAACAATTGTCAGTGAGTTCAATACGTACTGTATATATGGCGTTAATAATATCTCGGTTAGAGTATGGGTCAATGGTTTGGTCACCCTTTTATGAGAATCACTGCACTACATTAGAAACAGTTCAACATAAATTCATGAAATTCTGTGCATATAAAATGAACATTCGTATAGATAACCATGACTATACCTCTAGTATGAACATTCTCAACCTCAACTCTTTGAATAAAAGAAGAACAATTGCTGACCTGATGTTTATGTTTGAGTTGATTGGAGGCCTTGTTATTTGTCCTGAGCTCCTTGAAATGATATTTTTACATGTACCTAGTAGAATTCTCAGGAATTCTGATATATTTCGAATTTCCTTTCATCGTTCTAACTATGGTATGCATTCTCCTATTGATCGTACACTCAGATTGGTGAATGAGAAAAATATAGAGATAACAGGCATAACTCTTACTGCATTCAAAAATAATGTATTGAGAACATTATGAGCATCATTATCACATAATATAAGTTTCATTTTGTATAATCAATAGATATGGACATTTTGGTATATAATTTCCACTGAGGGAGTAATTTTTCCATCTATTTTCATATTTATAATGTATACTATAATTATTAATTAGTTAGACTTTTTAGTGACTACATAGATTTAATACATGATTTGTATTTATCATAATGGGGGTTACCCGTACAATAAATAAATAGAAAAAAAAAAATCCAATCGCAAATAAAGCAGTATCGTTAGATTCGTTAAAATATCCTTTTTTCGGAAAGTGCTTGTCAAAAAATGGTCGTCATTTGGAAAATAATAGTTAGACACGGTTATGTGATTTTGCCAACTTGTCTTATTCATATCTATCATACTTGTCACTAAAACTTCGCGATTGTAATTTTCTGATATCACCTGAGGTCCTTAGATTAGTTTACTTCCGATCATGGCCATCTAGATGTAATTTATAAAGTGACACCGAAAAAATTAAGTGAGCATGGAAACTTCAGGAAATCTAGAACTGTCTCAGAAATCCAAAAATGTTACAATATACAGGGTGTTCCATTTAAAAATTTAGAACCGGAGCCATTTCCGGTGAAACCGGTAGTGATCAGAAAATGAAGAATATGTGAAAACTCTCCTCTTCACATACAATTTACCTATGCCAAATCTCATTTCGATACACCTTATGGTCTAGAAGTTATGACTTGTCTAATAGATTCGTTGACACCCGGTATATACAAAAAACGTCGAATTTTTTACATACGAAATCGTATTCCCTCTTTTGAAAAACGGGTAGATTTAGTATATATACGCATGTATACGTTCTTTCTCCTCGGATAAAGTATTTCTATGACCCGGAGGTCAGGTTGCCCTCCAATATAGCGGAAGTGACAACTCATGAGTTATGAATATACAGGGTGGTCCGTTTTTTAAAACGGGGAAAATTCAACAACGTGTAGTACTCGTTGAAATAATAAATAAACTTCCTATGAACATATACTTTTGAACGCGTCGTTTTCGAGATATAGGGTGTTCAAGTTTCTTTAAAAAATTGATTATTCATTAATTTCTCAGAAATGCTATAACCGATTGTGATGAAATCCACATCAATTGTGAAAATATCAATGAGCTAACTTTTAGACCTATAACAGTTCATGAATGAGTTACATATTTTCAGGGGCGTGCATATCAAAATAAAATTTTTTTGCCCTCCTAGATTTCCTATCTCATAGCTTCGTTTCAGAAGGAAAAATAAAAACCAAACATGTGCATGTCTCTAAACTCAATGAAAGAAACATTGTAATGCATTAAATCTAGTTAGCATTGGCCGTTTACCAGACCAATCATGTAGCCATGGCAAATCAATCATTTACGGTTTAGAAGAGCCACAGCAGGCCATAGACCGCAGTGGATATCCTGCTATTGTCTTCAATGTTGCCGAGCTAGTATATTTTAACTAGCTAGTTTTTGAGATATAAGGTGTCGAAAATACGCTTCAGAATAAATATAGTTTTTTAATCAAAAGTTAGAAACTAAATCCCATAGGCATATTGACAAACGGCAACATTGGAATAAAATGATTACATTTTTTGATAACAACACGGAATATCTCCAGTTTGTTATTTCTTTGACAGAACTTTCAGAGTGACAGCACATATAAACAGTAAACAGTGAGCAACTGAGCATAGCCTACTTCTTCAATCGATATCAAGTAGTATTAATTAACTAAGGAATGTTATAAAATCTCACAAGCGAGGTTTTTTCATCGAATCTTGAAAAATAAATGAAAAATAATTACCCGAAAAATTTGTGTAATTATTACCTTCGCCACCCCAGATTCAGCCGCCACTGAATAGTTTTTAGGAACAATTTTTATTTAATCTAATGGAGCTCAAAAAGTTTAGTATCTGTGGAATATTTCGTAAATTTATCTACCGTTTCTAACTTTTGATTGACAAAATATATTCAGAAGCGTATTTTTGAAACACAATATCTCAGAAACAAAGCGTTCGAAAGTATATGTTTATAGAAAGTTTTTCTATTATTTCAACGCGTACGGCATACGAGCCCAGTTACTTTAGCAATAAAGT